ATCTTCAAAGTAAGCAGATTGGTTATTTTGTTTTTCAAAGAAGAGGGTCCTATATACAATTAAAACTTGTTTCTGGTAAACCTCATTCCAGGAAGGATGAGCTTTTAACAAAAGGCCTTTGACAGCTGCAGGCTATTTCATTTTTTTTAATGCCGAATGAAAAATCAATACATTTTTCTGGGTTATACATATTCAGAACAGGCCTGATATTTCCATTAGAATGGAAAGTGGGTGTCTGTGCACATCTCGCCTGTCAGAGCTGCACCACCGCATTTTCCAAGCCACTGCTAAATATTTCAAACCTGATTTGATTGTGGTTCATGACAGCTAATGTTTCTCAGCTCTTGAGCCTGCCGACAGGCAAACGCACTCCCCCCAACCCCGCTCCCCCCAAAGAAAAAGGAAAGAACAATTTCATTCTTCGGGGATCACAGATTGGTGCATTATTTAAGTAACATGTTCGTGTGAGAGCGTTGGGTACCGACACCCTGATTCTTAGGAGAATTTCCAAATTTCTATCACATCTAGGCACCGTGGGGGCTTTGTCAGGTTTGAATTAATCTACATTATCCTGTTAAGAGTGAGGAACAGAGGGACTAGTCTTAATCATTGATTGACTCCCCTTTCTTTCAAGCCTGTAAGCGATTTGTAAAGTACCCTCAATGGACACGTCACTCGGCCCCCGTCATTTGGGGGAGCAGTACCTTTTTTTTTTAACAACTAGAACATTTTCATGAGTGACGATTTGGGGAGCGTATGTTGTGGGTGGAATGCTGACTTTGTGATGATCCCACTTCTATTTTTGGCTCCTGCCTTGTGCTCCTTCCGCAAACCAATTTCCAGGTTGTTCATAAAATGGTTACAAATCCCTACGGGGTTGCCAGTTGGCACATGCACCTCCTTTGGGAGCAGACTTCACCACAAAAGGGGGAGTCATACTGTCACCTTTACCAAGATGCTAACTATGAGGTGTGTGAAGAGAACAGTTTGCATTTGTGGTGAGCAAAACCACCTCGATTGAAGGGGGATTTTCTGGGACGATGGTCTCATCCTCCTGAAAAGTGAAACCGCCTTGGGAATCTCCCCCTTCTAGAATATACTCATCTGTTGGGATTCTTCCACTGGAGGGCTCTGCCTTTACTATGAGTGACAGGAGAAGGCCAGGTTTGGACTAGCCCTAGGAAGTGCTGCTTGGGAGTTGTAAGGAGGAGGCTGGGAGGGAAATAGATTTTGAGAGGCCTCAGTCACGGTTCTACATGGAAGTGAAGGCAGAAGGGACCTGGGGGCCTCTCTGTTTTTAAAGATTTGCTTCCATTTCCTTTTCACATGAAAATATGGACAGTGGGGAGTGGGTGCCCTTACTTGGGGGTTACATGGGGCACAGGCTTCCCAGGGGGCCGCTGCGGTGTCTCAGAGGCACCTTCTCTGGTGCCTAAAAGAGACCTGTCCAGGACACGGGGTGCTCTGGGCCTGCTGCCTCCTGCCAAGAACCAGGTGACACTGAGGAGTAGTCACCCAGGTCCTGGCCACACCCTTGAGAAAGCATTCCTGGGCTGCTCTGATTGGGGTCTGAAATATTATGAAATGCTTCCATCTTCCAGGGAAGACGGTTTTGGTGTGTCTGTTTCAACCTTGAAAATGGTCCCGTGGCTACTGTGTGTTCTGAGTGAAAGCCTCAGTCCAAGTCCTCACTTGTTCCCACCATCTGCCTGAACCTGATATTTCAGGGGTGGAAACGTGCAGCTTCTGTAGTGACGCCAACCAGTGGTCACTGACTTCACGCGGGGAAGATGCAATCAGTGGCCTGTGGGGAAAAACTTCCCCTCCATTCTGGGTCTGCCAGCACATGTGTATCCAACGGATCCCTAAAAGGAACAAGGGCTAGATGACAGCCCCGGGAGTTGGCGTATACATGCAGCTCTCTGCAAAGTGGGTGCCGATCCGCCCTGAATCCCACGTTTCCAGGGACAGGACCCCATGCCTTTCCTTTGGGTGCCTGAGACCTGGCTCTTGGTGAGGGGCCTGGCTTTACACTTTGGGGGACCAGTGAAAACACACCCTGTCTGCAAAGCATTGTGGGCCTGAGCTGTCTGGACAAATTCGTAGTTTGTATCCCTGCTTTTTAATCATTTCTCTACCTTTATTGGTATTCAGAGCTCACAGTTTTCCGGTTACCGTCAGCCTGGGCTTTCATCCATTTTAAAGAGCCTTTTTCCTTCTCGTTGTTGATGATGATGGTATAAAGACAGATGGTGTAACTGCTTATGAATGTCCTATTTTATTTCTCCAGGACCAGACAGTTCACTTGGAGACGTAGATTATTTCCACATGCGCAGGTTAGGCGGCCCAGACTTGCCTGCCTCCTGCAGCCAGCTGCCCTCCCAGCCTTGCCATGCGGAGGGCGACACCTGTAGGTGCCAGGTGGAACTGCAGGGAAGCTCTGGCTTGGCTGAATGGGACCTGGTTTTTAGCTGGGTTGAGGGACACCGACTGATTCCCTGTAGAAGGAGCCTGCTTGTCCAGAAGTTTCTTAATCATTTTTTCTTCCATCACACATGTAATAACAGTCTTTGAGTGAATGAGTCACAAATGATAACAGTCAATCCAGGAACCTTAGAAGAAGAAGAAGTGGGGAGAGAGAGGGAGAGAGAGAGAGAGAGAGAGAGAAGCAAAATCAGCTCCTGAAATAACCTCTTTAGTTTTTTCCTCTCATTGGAACATGGCTGCCTTCATTTTCTGCTCACAGTAGAGCAGCAAGAGGAGACAGCACAGGCCCAGATGGGCCTGCAAACACTGGCTCCAGGAGTGCTCGCCAAGTGCCACCCGGTCTCCTTGCCCTTCAAAGATCTGTTCATTCTTTACAGTCTCTGTCTTTGGATAGATTCATCCTGGGGTCAGTGCCAGGTGACAGTGAGTTTTTAACTCTGCTCCAGCAACTGAAGGCCACATAATGTGCAGGAGCAAGGCCCTGGACTTGGAGATTGACTGCCCAATAGGTAAACTCCTTCCCTCCTCTGCTGAGAAGCTCCTTCAGACATTGTCACCACATCAGGGCGTTGTCAGTTTGCAGATGTGAGACTTTCCAGCTAAGGTGATACTGTGTGTGTACTAGAGGGGTGAGACCACCAAGCCGTCTCTTTGCCTAATCAAATTTGATCGATGTATCCATACTACAGATTCTGTGTACCACAGCATGTATTGGGACAAATGAGTATATTTTGAGACCTAACTAAATTTGGGTAGACCCAATTTAATGATATTGCTTAACTGAAGAGCTACTTAAAGATGCATTTTGTAATTATAGATTTGAATTGTTTTGTCAAAAGCCTAAAAAACGTGCACGAAACATCTTGCCCAGACATCTTTGAGATGGTGCAGGTACCATGCCTGGTAACTTTCTTGCTGTTACTCTACTAACACCTACATGTTTTTTTCTACTGAATGATGTATGATGGACTGTATATATGATTAACTTCAAGCCACCATTGTATGATTTTTCTCTGAACTAAAAGTAAGGTGAAGAGGCTCGATTTTAACTTCACTATGAATGAGACAAAAACAGAGACCTAGAAATCACATGTGGAACCCTGAATTGGAGTTGAAAATGAGCAGTGGCTTATTTCATCTGTATTTGCCACAATTGCCGCACAAACCCCTTACTATTAGTAATGAAGGAAGAACATTCCCTGATCCCTTGTTCATGTTCCCAGTCATTGGACCTCCATCATCTTTCTGGAAGAATTAGGAAAATATGATTCTAAAATGATGCTTTCTTCTTTGCTTGTTTTAGAAACCCTTTGAGGTCAATTGACTTTTACCTCTTTTACTACACTTTGTGGGATAAAATTCAGAGGCAGTATTATGGAGGGTCGGAGGGTGTAACACCTACGTTATTTAAAAGTGGAGCTGGAATTGGAGAGCTCTGTGGTGGAATCAGCCCGACTCTCATGTAGGGTTCCCTGTTCCTAATGGGTCTGGTCTGGTGCCAGCCTGGGTTGATAGAGAGGGCACCTCTGCTCTGTACCAGAGAGGTGTGCTCTTCAGAGTCTCCTGATAATCTCATCAATATGAAAATGGTTTTTCACCTTGGTTTGTCTGTTTTCTCCATTCATCTAGCCCATTCTTACTGAATACAGGATTTAGATGATGATCCATGGGGCCAGGAGAACATAGAGAAGTGTCTCACTTTCTTTTCCTCAGCATCTAAAGAATCTTTTCTTCTTCCCCAGTTGGGATGATGGCATTTTACTTCATAATTAACCTGGTTTTGAACATGGCTATTCTTCTACCTTTGCTTTAACACTGTGATGAGTCAACGAGGCATTTCTTGGATTAGCTTTAAGCCAGTAGTGCGGAAAGAGTGGAATGATTTCAAAAGGAGAGTGTGTGAGTTTGTTACAGACTTTTATCCCTTTGCCTCTCCTCACTGACCACGGCATGCCCACAGATGCCATTAGGATTACTAGAAACCAATCATTGATATTCTGTGACTCTTCAGAACCTGAACAACTGCAAAAAAAAAAAAAAAAAAAAAAATTCCCATCACAGCCAGGCCCATGAAAGGCCCCATGAGTTGGCCTGGTCTAGTCCAATACCAGGATGTTCTGGGGATGGAGGTAGGTAAAGTGAACAGTTTTAAGTTTGGGTTTTTTTCCCATTTTCAAGTGTAGCCTACTTGCATATGACTTCAGGGCCTGAGCTGGAGTTACTGCATCAACATGGTTAGTTTTTCAATTGGAAACTCTCAAGTGAGGCATCCAGAATCTCTGAAAATACCTAGTGTCCATGCCTGGAGCAAACCACAGCCTCATACCAACTGCATCCCCAGGCCCCAGTAAATCCTTAGCAAGGTTGTCCTCTGAGGGGCCCTTGGGAAGAGGATAAGGACAGAAGCACTGGCTTGGTGTTCTATAGTTGGCAGCTCCTTGGAATGGAGGCTGAGTCCTTCCTCTTCTTTCCGTGTTTGAATCCTTGACGGTTTTGTTTTTCTCCTTTTTCAGAAGAAGCCATTGAAGATGTTGAAGGACCCAGTGAAACGACTGCTGATCCAGAGGAGCTTGCTAAAGACCAAGAGAGTGGAGGCGAGAAGGACCAGAACAAGTGGACAGGTAGCGCGTGCGGCTGCCCTTAAGCCCCCAGGATTCTGCCCACGGAAGCACAGGGCTGTCCGGGAGTGGGTGCATCTTTATCTCCCAGGGAAAACTGTGTTGGCTCTGGAAGAGAGGAGGGGGACTTTGTTTTGCTTTTTAGAGTGGTCACTTTCAGTCCCCTTTATTAAGTTATATTAAAGAATTTTAAAGTTTTTAAATGTCTGGGGGGATGCAGCAGAGGTTGTTGAGTGGCACATATCTGGTCACACCCATTCTCAGCCTCCGGGTTCTCTGAGGGAGTCGGCGGTGAAGGCTGGCCTTTGCCTGGACACAGCCTACAGGCTCTTGGTGTCCCTCCCCAGGGCCAGCACCCGCATGCTGGAGTCCCACCTCAGGGGAGACAGGCAGTGCAGCTAGGCAGGACATCTGACCAAAAGCAGAAGAAACTGAAGAAGCCAAGACAGGAAGTGCTATTTCTGGAAAAACTGGTGCTGCGAGAGGAGGAACAGCCATTTCTCAGGAAGATAAGATTTCGGCATTGAGGGAAGAAAGAGCTGAGACTATGAAGAAAAGCTCAGGTTTTTCAAGAAGGAGCAAAGTCATTTTTGAGAAGACTTACTGGACAGATACGTCTCCCAGAAGCCATTGCGATAATAAAAGCAAATGATACCACAAGCTACAATTATTTGACTTGGTCAGCCCGATTCTCACTACCATTGTTGTTATTATAATACCTTGATTTTTTTTTTTTTGAGAACATATTTACCTTTTAGATTCTATTGGTTGGGCTTTTGTTACTTTTCTCGGCAAAACTGTTCTTAAATCATGCTCAGTGCAGCCTTCGCTATTTAAACAAGATACAGAATCTTGGAGAGAGGCCAGGGGAGGGCAGTGAAGATGACTGAAGGCTGAGAAATATTGCCTCTGAGAAGAGGCCAAAGAAACTGGGGCCATTCAGCTTAGGAAAGAAAAATCCAAGAGGCAGTGGAATGACTTCCAAATATCGGAAGGGATCCCGCAGATGAGGCCACAAACGCTGTCCTGTGTTTCCTGGGAGATAGGAACTGGCCATCATGGGGGCTGAGTGAATGGACGGAGCGCTGGGCAGACTTTACCATCCATGCTGCTCAGCGCCTATTTCAACCTACGCTCGGAGGCGTCCATCGCTGAGGGATGGACTCAGACTCCCAGGGCAGGAGGACGGGATGCACATCTGTGCCCAAAGACCCCTGGTTAGGAGAGCTTCCTCCTGCATGCTTTGCCTGGACCAAGATCCTAGTTTCTGCTGCAGTATTCGGGGAAGATCTAACACGTGGTTCCAATGGCAATCAGACATGTCTATCTACAGGAGGCAAGGGAGAGGATTTCACTCACATTGTTTGAAGACTGGGTGACCTTCTGGGCCATCTGTTTGTCATCACGATTTGGATGCTTGCTTTCTAATCCAGACTCTTCCACTTCCTAGCTGTGTGACCTTGCTTAAGGTCCCTTAACCTTGCTGTGCCTGTTTCTTCACTTGAGGTGGGATTTTAAGAAGTACCCATGATATAGAAGTGCCGTGAGGATTATTGGAATGTGGGGAGGTTAGACCAGTACCCAGCATGGAGTAAGCTGTCTAAGGAGTTTGTTTGTTTAATCATTTAGTTAAATAAGAGGAGGAAAGGTAGTGGCAGTTTCTCATAGGGTTCTCCCATTGGAATGTCTGGTAGCATGTGGCTTCTGGGAATTTCATTGAGAAGCTGGCAGGAGCAACATATACGCAAGGATTTAGTGGGATCATACTAATAGTATTTGGTATGCAGATGACACTAGGAAAACAATAAAAAGTGGTCCTGCTTGCAGAGCTCCTACTGGGTGCAACAGCCTGAGCCAGCAACTTTGTATATGCTGCTCAAATTCTTAGAACCAGTGTAGGACAGGCTTTGTTGAGGGCCCTTCAATTAATTTTTTTTTTTTTTTTTTTAGTTGTGGATGGACAAAATATATTTATTTATTTATTTTTATGTGGTGCTGAGGATCTAACCCAGTGCCTCACACACGCAAGGCAGCTACAGCCCCAGCCCTCAATTAAATCTTGTTCACATGTTTATAATTCCATAGAAGCATGTCTTCATGCTCCTGTGCCATGGACAAGCTAGGCCATTGGGATACTCTAAAAAGATGCAAAATGAGCACCATAGAAATGAATGTCCTTGATAAGGCCCCACTCTCTCATGCATTCATTCAGGCGACAGGTCGACTTAATCGTTACCTCCAAAAGACAGAACAAATATGAATGAATGAATAACTCAGAGGTGCACCTTGCCAGATGCACAGTAGAAGAGAGAGAAGGGAAAATTCTTTCCTGACTCCTGCAAATGATCCTCTTTTGACCCGAAGCATAATTTTGTCTATAGCGTCTGAGTGTGTAATGACAGGCTTTATTAAGGTACTTGGGCCAATTTGATCTCAGAATCGATATAGGTGCCAGCAACTCTTCTGAGCTTTCTTTTGGATCCTTAGTATTTTATAAAAAAAAAAAAAAAATCTACGTTTGTTCCATTTACTCCCTAAATTGAGCTGTTCCTACCTGATTAAATGTGTCGGGGAGCACTTCCTCCTGGCAAATAAATAAATAGTGATTTCACAATTTGTTCTGTTGATTAGTGGCTGCTCGTGATGCAGATTAATAATATTTCAAATAGGTCTGGATAATTGGCATTTTCTCAGCTATTGATTATGTAGTTTTGGGGGTTTGTTCAGAAATGGATAATCTTTATTAAAAATTTTTAGTTATTTATTTTTGTATTGAAGTAGGACTCTGGATTTCCTCTTTGGGTGCCCTTCTTCCATATTCTTTTACTTGGATGTGAGGTCTTTTTTACCTTGGATGGCAGCGAGACAGGCAAGACAGTGATTTGAATCACAGCAGGGTCAATTCCATGATCAGTGACCGAGTCCCTACCCTAAACAGGGCACTAGACAGAGTTCCAGTGAACACAAATTCTAATCAGCAAGATTATAGGCCTCACCTTCAGGAACTCTGCCTGTCTTAAGAACAGGATTAATACAGGTCAGTGCTGTCCAACAGAACTTCCTGTGCCAATAGAAATGGTCTGCATCTGAGTGGAATAATATGGTAGCCATTGGCCACATGTGGCTATTGAGCACTTAAAGTGTGACTAGAACACCAACTTTTTAATTTTATTTAATTTTAATGAATTTGGATTTAAATAGCCACACATGTACAGCTATAGTTACTCAAAAGAACCAAACCTAACCCTGAACGGGGGCCTTGCAGGGATGATGTTGCAGGTATCATAAAGGCTGCGGTCAGTTCGGAACCTGTGCGAGGCCCGGTTAGAGGGCTTTGCTCCTGTCCTTCCTGGCAGGCAAGCCACAAAGGCGCTCGCGGGTGCTGCTTCCCACAGCCCTGGGGCCAGGGCTAGTTGCTTATCCCAGTGGGCCGTCATCTTCTGATGTGCCTTGGTGTGAGACAAAGTTGGGGAGCTCTGCTTCATATACATTACCTCGTTTGATTCCCGCCCTGACCCATGAACTCAATGTTATAAATAACCACCCTCTCACTCCTGCCATTTTGTAGACAAGAAAACAGCCCCGGAGAGCTAGAGCAAGTTGCCCAAAGGTATACAAATGGGCTTGGGTTTGCATGTTGCTTTGCTGCTTACTTGATCTCAGACAGCTGAGGCTCTCACCAGTGGGCCCACGGCCTCTGATCATTTTCTCTAACTTTCCACTCTTGTTTTAGCATAAGGAGTTGCACGCTTCCAAGTTGTGAGCTGAGAGCAGGATAGGCAGCTCCCTGTGAGTTCATAGTGAACTGGGTTGGCAGCCAGCAATAGGCCTTGTAAAGAGCCAGTGTCCTGCTCAGTCTCAAAGCAGGTTAGCGATATAGAAAGAACTGTGTGGATTTGGAGTCAGGGAACCACCAGATGACAAGTGAGCTTGGTTGAGGGACCTCGCCTCTAGAAGCCCTGGGTGTCTCATCTGTGAAATGTGGACAAGTGAGAGTCACCAGCCTCAGCCATCTGTGGGTTCCATGATGGTAAGCAGTGGCACATATACAAGCCCCTGTTAGACAAGGGTCACATCTAGTCAAGGCAAGTGCAAAGCTCTCTCATGGACAAATATGGGGGGCGGGGGCACAGGAAGGTTCTTGGAAGCCAAGCCTCCTCCCTAATGCATAGCCATTTCCACTGTCCAACTTTGTGGTTTCTCTCTTGAAACATGAAAATGACCCCTTGTTGTCTTTACCAGAGTGAATTTCAATGTGTGTGTTCTAGATTAAAGAGCCCCCAGTGTCAACCACTGAACAATGATTAATGTAATGATTAGCCTATCAATCATTAATTGCTGTAAATTAAGTGATATACAATTAATGTGATGCTTTATCACCAATAATTAGGGGAAAAAATTGAACTCTTGGCAAAGAATCATAGCAAGATGGTTATTTAAATGCTGTAACTGCCATGGTTTGTAGCCACAGAGCACCATGGCTGGGTGTAGTTAAGGGAATTTGAGACGGGATGACTAGGGGTCTTGGTGCTTTAAAAAAGAGGGGGATGGGTGGAGCCCTAGCTCACCTTAAAATGACACCATGATAATGCTTCAGAAATCCCTGGTGTTTTTGTAAAACTTGCAGTAGGAACTGTAGTCTGTTTTTTTTTTTTTCTGGAGGAAGGGCCTGAAGGGATTTTACTTTATTATTATATTTTTTAAATCCATGATGCTCACCTAGCACAGAGCAATTAGTGCAGTGGAGCGTCCCTGATTGGAATCCATGGAAGATCCCTATTACAGGCGGTATTAATGGGCTGGCGAGGTCCGGCAACTGTGAGGGGAAAGTGTGTTTATGGAACACGGTGCTGGCAGGCATGATTCCAATCGGGTTTGACATGTTTAACATAAATGTATAGTGTACGGCTCTTGCTGCATATGAATAATCCCTGCAGACCCGCTGCCTTTCTAATTACTGAGGTTGAAAAAAAGCAGGTCAGGCACATCCTGGTGGAAATCTA